TTGTATCTAAAACTAGAAATATGAAGTATAACTCAAGTCCTATCGTAATTATACAAAGTGTGGGCCATTAATGGTGGTTTAGAAACTTGATGGCTCCCATTGACTAGGACGGTTTGTTGTAAATGGCTCTGTTTACTTGCAAGCCTTCCTGCATTCGTGTGAGTCAGTGTGAGTCAGGCCGGGAAGAATGGAGGCTTGGGGTCTCACAGGACATGTGACCATGTCACCTGCTACTGGAATCCATCTTAAACCTGGTGCTTTTCCATTTAGAAGGAGGTGGGGGGGACCCAGAGAGACAAAAGATTGCCACCTTGTGCCAAAGACTATAAAAGGGGGTGGAACAGAACGAAGAGGGTTGCCAGTCATGAGAAATCCCCTAGTTACCACCTGAGCTGGAACTAACAAGGACTGTACCAGGGAAAAGGATTAGGCCCAGACTAGGAAGGAGTCTAGTCTGTGAAAGAAGCTTATTGGAACATCTCTGAGGGTGAGATTTACCTGTATTCAGTTTCTTAATGTATTAGGCTTAGACTTGCATGTTTTGTTTTATTTTGCTTGGTAACTTACTTTGTTCTGTCTGTTATTACTTGAAACTACTTAAATCCTACTTTTTATATTTAATAAAATCACTTGTGTTTATTAATTAATCCAAAGTAAGTGATTAATACCTGGGGGATCAAACAGCTGTGCATATATCAGTGTTATAGAGGGCAGACAATTTATGAGTTTACGCTGTATACGCTTTATACAGAGTAGAATGGATTTATTTGGGGTTTGGATCCCATTGGGAGCTGGGTGTCCGGGTGCTGGAGCCAGGAGTACTTGCTGAGCTGTTTTCAGTTAAGTCTGCAGCATTGGGTGCGTGGTTCACACCCTGGGTCTGTGTTGCAGGAGGCTAGCATGTCTGGCTCAACAAGGCAGGGTTCTGGAGTCCCAAGCTGGCAAAGAAAATGGGCTCAGAGGTAGTTTCTGCACATCAGGTGACAGTCCCAAGGGAGTCTCTGTGACCGAACCTGTCACACGCTCCTAGTGGTCATCGGGCTTTGTCCACATGCCTTGCTGCCCCAGCTATCCCTTGGGGATGGGTAACGTTTTGCCCTTTGCCATTTCACCCAGTTTCCCAGCCCTATCTCTCCCCCATCCTTTTGCTTCCCCCGGCAACCCCTGCAAAGTCAGAAATGTTTTCTTTCCTCCAGGAATAGACAGCCACATGAAATCACCCATATATCTTAAAGAAAACCAAGTTTAGTAGAGAAGGTGGGAGAAAATCATATCATATTCAAAGCAAATGGTGTGAAACCAATCTGCTTTAATGCTGGACAGCAATTCAGGGCTTGTCAACACAGAAAAGTGTTACCAGTTATACCATTAAAATGATACAGGTATAGTTAAAATGCCATAGTTATACAAGTATAACTCCCCACCTAGGGCTTATCTACACTTAAAACGCTGCAACAGCACAGCTGAGCCACTGTAGCACTGCAGTGAAGATGCTATCTATGCTGATAGAATGGGCTCTTCTGTCGGTGTAGGTAATCCACCTCCCTGAGAGGCAGCAGCTAGGTCAATGGGAGACTTCTCCCTACAACCTAGGGCTGTCTACTCCAGGGAGTTAGGTTGGTTTAACTGTCATTCAGGGATGTGGATTTTTCACACCTCTCAGCGACGTAGTTATACTGACCTAACGTCCTAGTGAAGACCAGGCCTTAGGGCATGTCTATACTGGAAACGCCATAGCAGCACAGTTGTGTCACTGTAGCGTGTAAGTGTAGATGCTCCCTATGCCAACGGGAGGGGTTCTCCGTTCGGTGTGGGTAATCCACCCCCTCCTAAAGATGGTAGCCAGATCAATGGAAGAATTTTTAGCACTGTCTACAGTGGGATTTGGGTCAATTGAACTATGCTGCTCAGGGGTGTGGATTTTTCACACCCCTGAGCAATGTAGTTAAGCCGACCTAATTTTCTAGTGTACACCAGACCTCATTCTGAAATAAGAGTGGCTTTTTTCAGGTCTAGTGTAAACCGCTTCCAAAGTGACATAAGCTAAGGCCTGGTCTGCGCTAGAAAATCCACACCCCTGAGCAGTGTAGTTAAACTGGACCTAAATCCTCTTGAGGAGATGGATTACTTAGGCTGCCGGGAGAACCCTCCCCATTGGCATAGGAGATGTGTACACTGAGGCCTGATCTAACCTACAGGGTTAGGTCGGCATAAGCTGCCTTGCATCGACCTAGCTGTGGAAGTGTCTTCACTTAAACTTGGCTCCCGCTGACCTAAGTGCTTCTCTACTCCAATTTAGTGACACCACCTCCCCGAGAGCGACGTAGTGTCATGATTGATGTAATTAGGTGACGCAATGTCAGTGCAGACTCTACATTGCTTACGTCAACTGTTCGTGGCTTTCAGGAGCCATCCCACAATGCCCCACACTGACAGTGCAATCGATACAAGTGCTCCTGGTGAGGACACGCACCGCTGATACAAGCAGCCAAGCATGCACGCTCATAGGCAATTTAATAACTGTGGTGGCCAACTGCTGATGTAAATTAGCTCAACATAATTTTGTAATGTAGACGTGGCCTGAAGTGCTACAGAATGTGGACCAAGGAGATCCAGCGTACTTAGATTTTCAGAAAGCCTTTGACAAGGTCCCTCACCAAAGGCTCTTACGCAAAGTAAGATGCCATTCAATAAGAGGGAAGGTGCTCTCATGGATTGGTAACTGGTTAAAAGATAGGAAACAAAGGGTAGGTATAAATGGTCAGTTTTCAGAATGGAGAGAGGTAAATAGTGGTGTCCCCCAGGGATCTGTTCTGGGACCAGTGCTATTCAACATATTCATAAATGATCTGGAAAAAGGGGTAAACAGTGAGGTGGCAAAATTTGCAGATGATATAAAATTTGTTAAGACCCAGGCAGACTGCGAAGAGCTACAAAAGGATCTCTCAAAACTGAGTGACTGGGCAACAAAATGGCAGATGAAATTCAATGTTGAAAATGCGAAGTAAAGCACACTGGAAAACATAATCCCAACTATACATCTAAAATGATGGGGTCTAAATTAGCTGTTACCACTCAAGAAAGAGATCTTGGAGTCATTGTGGATAGTTCTCTGAAAACATCCACTCAATGTGCAGCGGCAGTCAAAGAAGCAAACAGAATGCTGGGAATAATTAAGAAAGGGATAGATAATAGGACAGAAAATATCATGTTGCCTCTATATAAATCCATGTAATGCCCACATCTTGAATACTGCGTGCAGATGTGGTCACCCCATCTCAAAAAAGATATATTGGAATTGGAAAAGGGTCAGAAAAGGGCAACAAAAATGATTAGGGGTATAGAACGGCTTCTGTATGAGGAGAGATTAATAAGACTGGGACTTTTCAGCTTGGAAAAGAGGCGACTAAGGGGAGATATGATTGAGATCTATAAAATCATGACTGGTATAGAGAAAGTAGATAAGGAAGTGATGTTTATTGCTTCTCATAACACAAGAACTAGGGGTCACCAAATGAAATGAATAGGCAGCAGGTTTAAAAACAAATAAAAGGATTTCTTCACACAACGCACCATCAACCTGTGGAACTCCTTACCAGAGGATGTTGTGAAGGCCAAGACCATAACAGGGTTCAAATAAGAACTAGATAAATTCATGGAGGATAAGTCCATCAATGGCTATTAGCCAGGATGGGCAGGGATGGTGTCCCTAGCCTCTATTTGCCAGAAGTTGGGAATGGGTGACAGGGGATGGATCACTTGGTGATTCCCTCTGGGGCACCTGGCATTGGCCATTGTCAGAAGACAGGATACTGGGCTGGATGGACCTTTGGTCTGACCCAGTAGGGCCATTCTTGTGTTATGTTCTTATGTACAGTGTGCTGCTATCCTGCTGTAGTGTTTGAAGAGTAGACAAGCCCATGCTGCTATAAATAAATTCAGACTCTACCTAGGCTCACATATCTATTCAGGGGACACCATCACAGGGCCTAATAACATCAGCCACACTATCAGAGGCTCGTTCACCTGCACATCCACCAATGTGATATATGCCATCATGTGCCATCAATGCCCCTCTGCCATGTACATTGGTCAAACTGGACAGTCTCTATGTAAAAGAATAAATGGACACAAATCAGATGTCAAGAATTATAACATTCATAAACCAGTCGGAGAACACTTCAATCTCTCTGGTCACGCAATCACAGACATGAAGGTCGCTATCTTAAAACAAAAAAACTTCAAATCCAGACTCCAGCGAGAAACTGCTGAATTGGAATTCATTTGCAAATTGGATACTATTAATTTAGGCTTAAATAGAGACTGGGAGTGGCTAAGTCATTATGCAAGGTAGCCTATTTCCCCTTGTTTTTTCCTACCCCCCCCCCCCCCGACGTTCTGGTTAAACTTGGATTTAAACTTGGAGAGTGGTCAGTTTGGATGAGCTATTGCCAGCAGGAGAGTGAGTTTGTGTGTGTGTGTGTGTGTGTGTGTGTGTCTGTCCCAGGGGAAAAAAAAGGGGGGGGGGAGGGGTGAGAAAGCCTGGATTTGTGCTGGACATGGCCCACCTTGATTACCATGCACATTGTAGGGAGAGTGGTCACTTTGGATGAGCTATTACCAGCAGGAGAGTGAGTTTGTGTGTGTGTTTTTTGGAGGGGGGTGAGGGGGTGAGAGAACCTGGATTTGTGCAGGAAATGGCCCACCTTGATTATCATGCACATTGTGTAGAGAGTGGTCACTTTGGATGGGCTATTACCAGCAGGAGGGTGAGTTTGTGTATGGGGTGGCGGAGGGTGAGAAAACCTGGATTTGTGCTGGAAATGGCCCAACTTGATGATCACTTTAGATAAGCTATTACCAGCAGGAGAGTGGGGTGGGAGGAGGAATTGTTTCATGATCTCTGTGTGTATATATAATGTCTGCTGCAGTTTCCACAGTATACATCCGATGAAGTGAGCTGTAGCTCACGAAAGCTCATGCTCAAATAAATTGGTTAGTCTCTAAGGTGCCACAAGTACTCCTTTTCTTTTTGCGAATACAGACTAACACGGCTGTTACTCTGAAACCTTTCTCCAAGCTTCTTTGTCAGCTTTGTCGGGCGGGGGACCTGCTACTAAACTAGTCTCAGGGCAGGTCTTTAGCTCTGGGGGTCCTGACTTTGGCTGCCCTACAAGGGGCCAGTTCTCCGTTCCTCTTTCTTTGCTGGTTTCTTAGAAACTCTGGCGATTTATTAAACCTCGCAGAGGTCACGAGCTGTGGGTTCACTCTTCGGGTAAAGATACAACCGGAGCAAGGTACAACCGGCCCCCGCCGGCGGAGCGTCTTTCCCGCTCCCTTCCTTCCTTCTTCCTTGGCGGGGCTCCCGCTCCCCGGCAGGCTGGAGTTTCGGTTTCTTGCAAAAGGCGCGCTGTGAATGAAACGGAGACTCTTCCGGGAATTGGCAATAGCCGCAGGAGGCCAGCAGGGGGCGGCCGGGAGGAGTGACACGCCTGCACGAGCCGCCGGCACCGGCAGCTGCGAGGAAGAAGAGGTCAGGGAGGGGATTTTGCAGCTTGCAAGCAGCTTGCAGCGCCAGGGCAGAGGTCGGTGCCTGGCGAGCAGGCGAGGGGAAAGCAGGCCCCTCCCCACCACGCAGCGGGGCTGGCGGGTCCCCGGGCTAGCCGCGGGGTGCAGAGAACCTGCTCTGCTTTGGAAGGTGGCGGATCTCTCTGGGTGGGAGCCTGTGTGGTCCCCGTTTTCCTACCAGCTCCAGTTTCTGGGGACGAGACCCTGGGCGAGCGTCTCTGTGCAGCCGATTACAGGCTGGTCAGCTTGCAGCTGGCCCGCGGGCAGTGGATTAGATTTGATGGTACCAGTGAGTGAGGAAGGGCTCAGTGAAACCCCCCCGCAACGCCCTCCTGCCCTCACCGGCAGCCGCCCCCGGCGTGGCTCAGCGCCCGGGCCGGTGCGCAGCTGGTGCCTCTGCCAGGCGCATTACAGCAGAGAGCCCGGAGGCTGGGGAATCCCTGGGCGAGCGGTGAGTCAGGGGTGGGCAGGGGTCCGGTGCTGGAGCCAGCGCCGGGGCTGGGAAAATCCGTGCCGTGGGGAAAAGCCCGGCGAGAAGGCACCTGACTTTCCGCGCTCCCCCCCCCTTTCCAGAGGGTTGTTTACTCTCGTCCTAGCTGCCGAAACGGGGCGGGCTGTTTTACAGCCAGGCTCACAGCTATGGGGGGGCTTCGCTGTCCAACAGCTCCAGCTGTGTCCGTCCAGGGGCGCTGACAGCCCCGGGGAGAGGGGTTTGCTGTATGGCTGCAGCCAGGCTGTTCCAGCGCCCTGCTCTGCCTGTGCAAATAATGCTGCTCGGACTTGCACAAGCACCGCCTGAAAAGGGCTGAGCCAGCCTTCTTCATATGAATTAGCCCCTCTGCTCAGGTTTCAGAGTAGCGGCCGTGTTAGTCTGTATTTGCAAAAAGAAAAGGAGGACTTGTGGCACCTTAGAGACTAACCAATTTATTCGAGAATAAGCTTTCATGAGCTACAGCCTGTAGCTCAGGAAAGCTTATGCTCAAATAAATTGGCTAGTCTCTAAGGTGCTACAAGTACTCCTTTCCCCTCTGCTCAGTTGTCTGTCTGTGGTGCTGATGCATCTGCAGTGTCTACCTGTAACAGTTAGGCGTTCTCATTGTAGGGTCGCAGAGAGCTTGACCAACAATAATTAAGCCTCACAACATCCCTGCGAGGTAGCTACCGAGAGGGGCAGTGAGGCACAGAGAATCATAGAATCATAGAATATAAGGGTTGGAAGGGACCCCAGAAGGTCATCTAGTCCAACCCCCTGCTCGAAGCAGGACCAAACAGAGGATCTGCTCTGTTTATATTCTGATACTGCAGCCCTCTGTAAAGGTTTTGTGAGTCATGATCCAGATCACTCCCAGCCTCCCGCTCGAACCAGGAGAGGCTCCCTTGCAATCTGGATGAGCAGGCGATGTGAAATGAGTCAGGGTGAAATGCAGGCTCAGCCTATGAAAATAACCTGTTTAGTGGTGGAATTCATTCGTAGAACAGGGGTGGTTTTATTTACAGGGCTGTAAAGGGTTCCGCTTCAAAAGGTATTTACAGCATGTATCAATATTATTAATAAACAGAGGTTCCTTTTAAATGACACTTCGCTTTACAAACATAAATAAGAGAGGGTCCTTGCGCCAAGCAGTTACAAGCTTAAATAGCACACAAATACCTGGGTACCCATTTTGCATGTGCAAAGGTGAGGTGTACAACCACATTGTCTCTCTGTGCAAATGTTAATTACAAAATTAGACAATTAAAAAAATTAACCCCATGTGAGTTACCTACCTGCTATTCTGCAGCCCTATACACTCATCCTTAGATTCTCTAGTCACTGTGATGCTTTTGTCTCTTGAGCGTTCCCCGGGATGTACCTGTTCACTCAGAGACACCTCCTGGTCAGATTGAGACTAGCTGTGCTCATTGGCCACCGTAAAATGATACCCCTCTACCCCTCATGTATAGGCTAGTGCAGGATCATTCACGTAACCACAATATCCACAGTAGATGTCCCAGAGCTATAATCTCTATCAAACAGTTCCACAGTATCTGCGACCAACATAATTGAACTTCTTTCTGCTAAATATTAGCTGGCCTCTAAATGATGCCTGCCCCATTGCAGCTGAACTGTATTTGAGGTTATTTCTAAGCCCCCTGCCTCTGAACTAATCGTGCATTGGCAGGGAGATGACCTAATACATCTTTCCCATCTCTGATTTCTATAATTTAATAGTGCTCTGCAGCTATTCTGTCTTGGGCTGTGGATTTACTAAATCTCATTAGCGAGGCATCTTCAGGCTGAGTCAGTGCTTAGCTAGAAGACCTTTGGGGGAAAAGCCCAGGTGTTCAAGAAGAGGAGCTGGAGTTTCAGTAGTTAATACTGTTCTCTCTGAATGCTGTTCTCCCTGGGATACTGTTGAACCAATGCCCCAGCTGGGTTCCCAAGCTCCCGGTGAACATTTCTGAAGTAGATTTAAAACGTGCCTTACTCATTTGGGATTGCGAAAGATGGGACTTTCGGCTCATGTCAGAGTATTGTTGGTGCCAGGGCCCTGGCCGGATTCCAGCTTTGGGCCTATGCTGCATTTCAGTAGCCCAAGGTATTTTTCAGTACTTGTGGTGCTTTACAAACACGGCAGGAATCACTTCGTGGATTCCTATGGCCTGTGCCAGGCAGGGTGCTCAGACTAGATCAGAGGTCTCCAACCTTTTTATGCCCAAGATCACTTTTTGAATTTAAGGGTAACTCAGGATCTACCCCACCTCTTCCCTGAGGCCCTGCCCCTTCCCCAAAGCCCTGTCCCACTCACTCCATCCCCCCCTCCCTCCATCACTCGCTCTCCCCCACCCTCACTCACTTTCACCGGGCAGGGGGTTGGGGTTGGGGTTTGGAATGGGGTAAGGGCAGCACTTACCTCCAGTGGCTCCCAGTTGGCGGCAGGCGCAGTGAGGCTAAGGCAGGGTCCCTGCCTACCCCGGCCCCACACTGCTACCAGAAGGGGCCAACGCACCCCTGAGGCCCCTGGGGTGGGGAGGGCAGGGGGCACATGGCTCCGTGCACTGCCCCTCTCTGCAAGCACCGCCCCCACAGCTCTCCCAGCCAATGGGAGCTGCGGGGGCGGTGCTTGCAGGCAGGAGCATTGCGCAGGGGGAGACTCCTGCCCCCCGTCCCTGGGGCTGCAGGGCTGCAGTGGCTGCTTCCAGGAGCAGTGTGGGGCCAGGGTAGGCAGGGAGTCTGCCTTAGTGGCAGCCACACTGTGCGGCCACTGGAGATCGTGATCAACTGGGAGATCCTCTAGGATCGACCAGTCGATCGCGGTCGACTGGTTGGTGACCACTGGACTAGATGATCACAGTGGACTCTACTGGCCTGCAAATCCATGGGCCTGATTCTCAATAATGCTGAGGCTCCCTGAACCATTCTGGTAGTGTAAAAACAAGGCACCTTGTCTCAGCAGTGTCAAGAACCCTCAGTGTAACAGCATGGGCCCAATAGCCTATGAATTAAAGCTGAGGGTTTGGTCCTATTTGTGACCTGAGATGCTATAGTTGGGCCTTTTATTTTCCTTTCACAACTCTTCCCTTCCCAGCGTCTACCAACTGCAAAGCCTCAAGATCCTGTGAGGCCCATTGGGTAGCTTTGGCCACACATCTCCCAGAGATGTACAGAAGAGGAAGGAGGTTCAGGGCATGGATTGTGATTGTGGCTGGGGTGATGAGGTGGTGACCTCAGGTACTATTATTATAGGGAAGATGAACTTAACTAGCTGTGATAAGATAGGTGAAGGTTTGTTCCCCTGAATAGCCTAAGCATGGTCTTGAGGAGTTCAGGAACTAACAGGAGAGAATGGTGACAGCATGGGCTTGGGGAGAGCCTCGGTATGACCCAGTGATGCTGCCCGCAGAGGGGCATTTTCTTCTTTCACTCATGACTGCTGTTCTGTGCCAGCTAGAGTGGCTCTCAACACCCAATTGAAGGGGACAAATAAGCAGGCTGGTAGCCGGGCCTGAGTGAGGGAAGATATCAGCGTCTTAAGGGCCTAACTGGCTCCTACTGCTTCATCTGACTGCCTGTTCTCCTCAAGTGGGTTCAGGGAAGCAGCAGGAAACAGGAAGCTCCCTGAGAAGCTGGGGTTAACCAGTCCAGGCTCCTGGGGGTGCTAGAGAGGTGCATAAGAGGCTCCTCCTCCTCTCGCTCCCTGCGGCTCCTGCTGCTTTCTGCTATTCCCTCTCACCTTTTCTCCTGCCTGCCTGTTCTGTCTCTTGTGCCCTCCTTCCTCCAGCAAAGCACTCCACCATCTCTGTGCATCTCGAGCAGAGAGAATACATATGCCCCAGCAGCAGACACAATTTTCTACACTCTGGGTCCTAGTGGCCCCCCCTCCCAGTCTGGCACCTGAGGTGGCCGCCTCCCTTCTCCTCATGGCAAGGCCAGCCCATTGTCGAGCTGACACATGTTTTTTGTTAGAAACAATTTTTCGTTGGAAAATCCTGTTTCAGTTAAACTAAATATTTTGGCAAAATTGTATCTAGCTGACACAAATTCCCACAAAAACAAAATTTCCCCAAACTGAAAATGAAGGGCAGCTGCTGCTTAGTACAGATGGAAACATTTTATCTTACTCTCTCTAGATCAAAGTGTGTCCTGTTTGTGTTGTTATATGAGACAGTTTGATGGAGTCCAAAAAAATCTGCCATTGATTTCCTCTATGATTTTGGGCAAGTCACTTTTCCTCTCTGTGCTATGGTTTCTCCATCTGTAAGGTGGGAATGCTAGTGCTGGCCAACCTCACAGGAGTGTTGTGAACCTTACTTAATTGTTTGGAAGGCCCCTAAGAGCCTCGTATGAGAGAGTGTTTTAGAAATACCAAGTTTTATTATAATTGAAGTTTGTCTTGGATGGCCGTGGACTCCTCAAGAGAAGACCCTGAGACTCAAAGAAGAACAACTGCAACTACACCTAATTATGAGCTGCACCCTGTGTGTAACGGCACAGATTGCTGCATAACTCTGGATATTTCAGGCTTGCCTAATTGCGTTCTGGAATCTAATCCTTAAATTTAAGCCTCTTGCCCTTATGATTGCGAAGATAAACTTTGCAATGTGAGCTGAGGATATGTCTACACATAAACTACTACAGCGGCACAATTGCACCCTGTGTCACTGGAGCACTTCAGTGAAGACACCACCTATGCCGTGCAGGGGGTTCTCCCATTGGCCTAGGTAATCTATCTCTCCAAAAGGTAGTAGCTTAGGTTGGCAGAGCTGACTGGACTCTGGGTATGGATCCCGCCGCCGGAGGCGAGAAGCCCCCAGCGGCTGCCCCCCTGCTCCCGGCTGGGAGGGGAAAGGTGAGAAGCCCTGGGGGGAAGCTGGACTTCCGGATGGGAGCTGCATAGAGCTGAGAGCCCTGGCTCTCAGTCCCCCACACTGCCCCTCTTGAGTGGGTGGATGCACACCACCAACAGAAGGAGGGTAGTGTGGACACCAGCCACCACAGTAATTAATAAGGCTGTAAGTCGAACTAACGTAGGTCGAGTTATCGTTGTACAGGAACTCCTCATTTAAAGTTGTCCCGGTTAACGTTGTTTCGTTGTTACATTGCTGATCAATTAGGGAACATGCTCATTTAAAGTTGTGCAATGCTCCCTTATAATGTCGTTTGGCAGCCCCTTGCTTTGTCCACTGCTTGCAGGAAGAGCAGCCCGTTGGAGCGAGCTGGTGGGAGCTTGGAACCAGGGTGGACCGACAGCCCCCACATCAGCTCCCTGCTCCCCTAAATTCTCTGTGCAGCAGTCACCCAGCAGGCTACCAATTGCTGGCAGTTCAGCTGTCCCTCCCCCCACTGCTGTGTGCTGCTCCTGCCCTCTGCCTTGGAGCTGCTCCTGGGAGCCTCCTGCTTGCTGTGCGTGGGGAGGGGGGGAAGAGGGGGGCTAATGTCAGGGTGTCCCCCTCCCCCCCTGCACCACACTTACCCCATTTCCATGGGTGGGGCGGGGGGGGGGTACACGACAGGGCTCAGGACAGAATGAGCTTCCTGGCAGCAGCTTCTGTCTCAACTTGCTGATCTACTTAAAAAGGCAGTGTACTTAGAGTGGGGTCAGCATACTTAAAAGGGCAATGCACATCTCTCTCTCTCTCTCCCACACACAGGGTGTGTGTCTCTGTCTGCCATGCTGTCTCCCCTCCCTCCATTTGTGCTGCCTTGTAGAGTGTGAGGCTACATTAACAACAGTGGGTTAACCCTAGAGGGCTCAGCTGGTTGCTAGTTCATCATGTAGCAGTAAGGAGCTAAAAACAGTTGGGGGCAGATCAGCCAGGTTGTAACCGCTGCAGAGAGAGGTACTCTCTTCTGGGGAGGCTGGCATATACTAGTTCAAACTAGATGCTGCGGAGACCAACAGACAAAGAAAAGATGTTTGGATAAATAGCCTGAATTTAAACGGAGTCAGGGGGCTTCTTTTTGATCCAGCAAACCCACAGGACCTTCTATCCAAGAGGGGCCCCAATCCTTGCAGTAGGGTTGGAAGGACTTGACCTTCTAGGGCCCTATCAGATGAATGCAGGGGTCGCCAACCTTTCAGAAGTGGTGTGTTGAGTCTTCATTTATTCACTTTAATTTAAGGTTTCGCATGCCAGTAATACATTTTAACATTTTTTTAAGAAGGTCTCTCTCTATAAGTCTATATATTATATAACTAAACTATTGTCGTATGTAAAGTAAACAAGGTTTTCAAAATGTTTAAGAAGCTTCATTTAAAATTAAATTAAAATGTTGATCTTACGCCGCGGGCCCGCCCAGCCCTCTGCCAGCCTGGGGTTCCGTTCACTTAGGCTGGCAGCAGGCTGAGCCGGGCCTGTGGCAGGGACCCCAGCTGGCAAGGGGCCGGCAGCCAGAACCCCAGACTGGCAGTGGGCAGCTCAGCCCACTGCCAGTCTGGGGTTCCATCCGCTGGCTCCTGCCAGCCACGGTCCTGGCTGATGGCCCCTCTCAGCCCGCTGCTGGTCTGGAATCCCAGCCCTGCCCACATAGAGTGGATACCTACCTTCTCCCTGGTTCTAGCCCATTCTCTTCCTGTCTCTCTGCACTGAGCTGAGGATGGGAGTGCACTGAGCACAGGGCTGGGGGTGAAGGAGCAGGCTGGGGGTTAGGGTGCAGGGTCTGACCAGGAGCTAGAATGAGGGAGGGGGCTCAGGGTTGGGGCAGGAGGTTTGGGTATGGAGTGCTTATCTGGGCAGCTCCCATTTGGTGCGAGGGGTGCAGGTGGAAATGTGGGGGTCTGTGCAGGAGCTCCCGTTTGGTGCTCAGGGTGGGGGTGGGAATGTGGGGGGTGCAAGAGTCAGGGCATGAGGTGTTGGGGATGCAGGAGTCAGGGCAGAGGGCTGCGGACATGTGAGGGGGGGTGCAGGTGTCAGGGAATGGGGTGTGGGGGTGCTGGGTATGTGTGGGGGTGCTGGAGTCAGGGCTTGGGTTGGGGGGTGCAGGGGTCAGGGCAGAGGGCTGGGAGTGTGTGGGGGGGTGCAGGGGTCAGGGCAGGGGGCTGGGGGTGTGGGGGGGGTGTAGGGGTCAGGGCAGAGGGCTCGGGGTGTGGGCTAGGGTCGTGGGGGCACTCCCATCCTCCTTCCCAGGGCGGTTCACGGCAGGGGGCTGGAGGGGATATGCCCTGATTCCACCCCCCTTCCCCAAGACCCCGTCCCCATGTCTTCTCCGCATCCTCCCTGGAGCAGCGAGCCCACTGCAGCTCCACTTCTCCCCCTCCCTCGCAAGGGCCATCAGCTGATGGGTGGCAGGGAGGGAGAGGAGGAGGGGCAGGAACAGCGCACGCTGGGGGAAGAGGCGGGGGAGGG